CCCCTCCCCCAATGAAAATATAAAAACAAAAACAGAAACGAAAACAAAAATAAAAACACAAAACACAAAAAAAGAAAATTAAAAACAATAGCAAAAACGCACGACGGTTATCTGCGCAGTAAGCTGTTTTGACAATTATTTGTAATTCGTTACCCCAGAATTATTATAGAGTTTTACGTGATATTTTTGGCCCGTTTGAGGTACTGTAGGTCCAAGGTGTCAGGCACTAATAAATGTTATAACTGATCCATCAAAATTGTAGTTTATAGGTTTTAGCTTGAGTAGGAGTTTTACGGCACTTGCAACACAATACGATCAAATAAATTCCGAAGATTAGAGGCGTTACAAGAGAGTAACAAACACAAAAAAAGAAGGAGGGGAGATATAAAGACGATAGAAGCTTGATAGGAAAGAAGAAGCAAACCACACCAGAACACCTGCCAACCACCCACTCAAAATTGTAGGATTATTCGGAGTCGTAAACAAGATATTCAAAGAATTGCACCCAAAAAAAGCAAGCTTGACGTATTGTGGAACTCAAAGTTTTTAAAGTCAAAGTTCTCAAAACTAAGTGCTGAACGGATAGAACTTTGGAATTCTTGGGTAGCTTATGGTAAGTGATAAATATCAATAGTCTATCATCATACGACATGCTCGTTCAAATGTCGATCTTTTTCGCCCTTACAGTTTTGTTCATGCTCAGTATTGTCTAGGATATCATATCTAGTCAGATGGACCAAATGTTGGATAAAATAATATAAATGTGAGGCGTGCTGACAAAATGAGTTACTTCTCACAATCCACAAAAGGAGATATTGGCTAAAACATCGACATATTTTTAAAATTTCTAGGTGTTTCTATTGATGCAATATTCATTAAATATTAAATGCCATTTGTTATTTCATATTTATAAATTGTAAAAACTTCAACTATAAGCGTGATGTATCTATTTCTATAGGGCTCAAATCCGAGAAGTAACTCATTTAGTCAGCACACTTCACAAATAATAAAATAAATTAAATTACACTTTTATCGATCCCTTAAGGGAAATTTGGTTCACAATGGCAAGCATACATACATAAATACATAATTATTGTAAATACACAGATATATAAATACATGCACAAACACAATAATAAATTACACACGATATTACATCAGTAGAGAAGATAGTCACAACCATGCCATTGCCGGTCGCCACGGTGCAGCGCCCTGTTTTTTTTAAAAACTATGGTTGTCGTGTCTTGCTCAAGGACACACCCCAGTGACCACCCAATTAGGGACCCTTTACACGCGCAGTTCATTGATCGACAAACTGTAGGATATCGAAAGAATGGCCGGCATCCTGTCAACTTCCTGGTAAAACTGAGCGTGGAAACGAGCAATCCTCTCGATATCGAAGGGTTCTCAGTCTAGCCACCAGATATTTGGCGGCCGGCGAACTGAAGGCACGACGACGAGGGAACGACTTCTTTGATGTTGCCCTAGACGGAGTTGAAAATGCGTTCCACCTCTCACCTCTGACCCCTCACCCCTCCCCTCTCACCTCTCACTTCTCACTCACCTCTCACCTCTCACCTTTCACTTCTCACTCACCTCTCACCTCTCACTTCTCACCTCTGACCCCTCACCCCTCCCCTCTCACCTCTCACTTCTCACTCACCTCTCACCTCTCACCTTTCACTTCTCACTCACCTCTCACCTCTCACTTCTCACCTCTGACCCCTCACCCCTCCCCTCTCACCTCTCACTTCTCA